TGCCCCCGGCTCCCCCGATTCAGCCACTGCTGAAACTGACCAGCAACTGTCAGCCGGGGACAGAGCATGTGGGGTGCTGCTGGGTTGGTCCCGTAGTGCTGCCCCTCGGCGCTGTGGGACCAACCTGGCAGCACCCGAGCTGCTCTACTCCAGGCGTCCCGGATTCAGCCGCTGTTGAAACTGATCAGTTTCAGCAGCGGCTGACGCCAGTTCCGACTTAAATACAGATTCAACTTAAGAACAAACCTATAGTCCCTATCTTGTACGTAACACGGGGACTGCCTGTACTTTGCATTTGTCCTTATTAAACTTCAGACCATTTCTCCCATTTGTCCAGATCATTTTGAATTATGATCCTATCCTCCAAATCACTTGCAACCCCTCTCAGGTTGGTATCATCTGCAAACTTAATAAGCATACTCTCTATGCCAATATCTAAATTGTTGATGAAGATATTGAACAGAACCGGTCCCCAAACAGAGCCCTGCGGAACCCCACTTATTATGCCCTTCCAGCATGACTGTCTACTGTTAATAACTTCTCTCTAAGAATGATTATTCAGCCAGTTATGCACCCACCTTATAGCAGCCCCATCTAGGTTGTATTTTCCTAGTTTATTGATAAGAAAGTCATGCAAGACTGTATCAAATGCTTTACTAAGGTGGTCTAGGTATACCATGCCCACCGTTTCTCCTTTATCCCACAAGACTTGTTATCCTATCAAAGAAAGCTATCAGATAGGTTTGACATGATTAGCTCTTTATAAATTCATATTGGCTGTTACCTATCACCTGATTGTCTTCTAGGTGTTTGCAGATAAATTCCTTAATTACTTGCTCCATTATGTTCCCGGCACAGAAGTTAAACAGGATCATACTCACACCAAAACATTAAATATGAAGTACAGCCATCCCTCTAGAGCAGTGTCTCCCAATTAGTGCTCCACAGAACCCTGGGGTTCCACAAGGAGCCGGCACTCCCCGCCCCTCTGAAAGAGAGAGCCGGCTAGCCAGCTTCTGAAAGAAACAGCACACTTGTTCCCTATTCCTCCCTGGCGATGCAGAGGCATAAGTGAGGCAGGGGCAGAAGGGAACAGTTGCTCCTGGCCAGCACACTAGGGGGTGCCGGACAGGGTGACCCCACATGACCCACAGCAGGGCACAAAGCACTTTCCCACCCCAAAGGAGCCAGCTCGTGCTGCCTGAACAGCTGGGGCTGTGGCACCCGGCAACTTAGTTCCACGGCCTTTCTGTGCGGTGAGGGAGTGGGGAAAGGAGGAGATCAGGAGACCCCTGTGCAGTTCCAACTGTGCAGGCAGCACTCTCTGCCCTGGGACCCCCCGCACCCTCCCTCACCTTGCAGAACGGCATCACAAAAGTAAGTTGCTGGGGTGCAACAGCCCCTGCTGTTCAGGCAGTGCACACACTAGCTATTTGGAGACGCCAAGTGCAGTCACAAACTTTCTGGAACCCAGGGTGTTGCAGGATTGCCAGGTACTGCTCTCAGCTGCCCCTGTCCCCTGCCCAGACACCCCCTCTGCCACGAGTACACTGTCCCCTGTCCCCAGCACCCAGTCCCTAGCCCCAGCACCCTGCCACCCACCCCATGACCCTGGCCCCAGCACCCTGCCATCTGCACCAGCACCACACTGTCCCCAGCTCCACCAGCACAGATGGGACCACATTAATGAGGCTTGGGAGTTTGAGGGGTTTTTTTTTTTTGGCATTCACTTGTGTGGGCCCAACTGACTTTTCTGTGGGTCAGTGACCCTTGACTCAAAATGTTCCCCTCCCCTCCCCTCTCAAATAAAAACAATGCTAAAACTCTGAGTGTGACATTTTATTTCAAAATGAAGCATGGCCAACAAGTCCCCAATTGGGGCCAAACTCCCATCTTACTGCAGCATCATAACACTCCTGCACCACTTGACTCCAAATCTGAACCTATCATACACTGGAACTCCCCTGTCCTGAGCCTCTTACATCCCCAAACTCCTGCACCCTCACATCCCCAGTCTTCTGCCACAACACTCCTGCACTATCCACACATCACAAATTTGTGTCCTGAGCCCATCATACTCACAGCCTCCTAGCCCTAAGCCCTTCACAGATCCAATCCAAACTCCAGCACCCTCACATCCACAAGCCTGTGTCTTGCTCAGCACCCCAACCCTTCACCTGACCCCAACACTCCCCAGCCTGGAGCCCCGTCCCCGAGCCAGCATCCCCTTCTCTACCTCCTCCTGCATCCAAATTCCCTCCCAGAGCTTGAACCTCTCACCTCTTCCCACACCCAAATCCTTCATTCCCACTCCAGAGCCCACACATCCTGTCTCAACCCTGTGAAGGTACGGCTAGACTACAAGGCTGTCGATGGGGCCTCAAGGAAGGGGTGGGGAGCCTTGGGAAGGAATGTGATTTTCATGAATTGGTGGGTCCCACTCCCCCCCCCCTTTTTTTTCCTTTCTTCTTGACAATCCTAGGGGTTTCTTGAAATTCTGAAAAGGGTTCCGTGGCCAAATAATATTGGGAAACACTGCTCTAGAGCATTCAGTACGTAGTATTCAACAGGAAAATGTTTTGGGAGGCACTACAGCTCCCCTCTAATGCAAGCATTTTCTTTCCTGTCCACCACACACAGTCCCTTTTGCCTTCAGTCAATCACCGGTCACTGGTCAGCTGGTGGCTTCCTACCCAGCACTGAAAAACCTGAGATTGGAATCTGAAGAGAGGCCATAAAGCTTGCTCTTTTGCAATACTGCACTATTCCAGAATGTGAAGAATATCCTTTAATTCCCATAGAGGGAGAACACAACATTACAGAAAACAGATTTACCTCCCCCTTACAATAAGGATCTAGCCTCCAATCCTGTTCATTAGGAACTGCAAGCATGAACTAGCAATTGCACCGTGGAACAACTACACTTTGTGACCTGAAACTGGAAACAATACTGAGGTGCCAAGAAGCCCCACAAAATGCAGCTAGTTGTGAATATGAAGATGTAAGAGCTACGCTGTGGAGACATTACACAGGACAGTACCCAGAAGAGCCCAGTTTCCAAATTGGAAGATTACCCCCCCCCACTACCATACCAGCAAACACAACCAGGAACCTAGAAATCCCACTGAGCTCTCAGTCTCCCTCACCCTTATATTACTACAACTAATACAAGATCCTACAAAGGAAATTTTGCTGACAATTCTGTTGCTGACAATTCTCTCTCTCAGCATTAAACTCATTCAACAGGACTAATGAGGCTTTGTTTGGGTGATGACATAATCAAGCAAGACAAAAGCAGCAGAGAGAGGAGTATCAGAGGACCATTTTAGTGGTCTTTTTTCTGCTCCTATTCTAGGGAGGGCAATCAAGACTATTAATATCACAGTGTGAAAGTGTCACTTTCCACAGCTAGAAAGAAATTTCCCCCAGTGAATGTGGGATGTTTCTGCAGAATTTTAATTTTCTTTTATTAAAAGAAAGGAATGGAAAGGCAACTAGTGGTTTTGTAAAAATAAAATTTATGTTCCATTATATTGATAGAATTGACATAGAATGTTCCAGATTTACTTCTCTGGGTTTCCAAACTTCAGTATTATTCCTTGTCAAGCATCAACTAAAAGAGGACACGTCACACACCTACTTTAAGATTATGGTAAATCCTGTTCTCAGCTTTCTCTCATTTTCTCAATGTGAAAAACTGGATTTGAATGCTTCAGAGGGGTAGCCGTGTTAGTGTGTAACTGGAAAAAAATAAACAACAAATAGTCTAGCTGCACCTTAAAGACTGACAAAACATGTAGATGGTATCATGAGCTTTCATGGGCACAACCCACTTTGGTTGTGCCCATGAAAGCTCATGAATGGTTATGTTGAGACTAACTGGTTGAATTAACTAGAGTAGTGAGCATGACACACCTGTGACACACTCAGCCCAACTTGTTTAAAAAAATAAAAGGTAAACCTATAAAGATTTCTATTCATTCAAGAAACAGAAACTATCCTTTTTGGGGACTCTGTACTAAGGGCATGTCTAAATGATGTGTTATTAGTGTGTAGCAAGGTAGGATGAAAAAGACCTCTTATGTGCTATGCAGTAACTCAGTCCATGTGTACAATGTGGCTGTGTGCTAAAAGTTCCCTGGTGTGCTTTGAAAGAAAGTTCTACAAAAGCAGTAAGTAGACAAGGGCCTACTGGTCTCCGTGCATATTGGCACTAATGACATTGCTTTATGGGACACTTCACAGCTTATAAATAACTTCAGGGAATTGTGAAAGATGCTGAAGATGAAGAATGTCCAAGTGATCATCACAGTAATCCTTCGTCTCACAAGCGAAGGAAAACAGAAGGCTCAAGATTTTGGAAGTGAACTGCTGGCTAGGTAAGTGGCATAAGGTGGTTTGGGTTTTAAGGAACATTGGTCTACTTTCTGTGCTGGCCTTCACCACATAGAAGGGGAACCAATGTTTTAGATGAGGCAGAGCTTTAAACGAAGAACAAAAGAGGTTGGAAAGAAGGAACAAGTGAATATTCATTTAACACAAAATCAAGATGTTGTGAACAAAATATCAAGAAACCAAAGAACATGAAGAAAATAAATTCTTAAATTGCTTATATACCAATGACAGGAGCCTGGCTAATAAATAGAGGGAATTGGAAGTTCACATTAATGAATAAAAATTGGAAACTAGCAACTGTAGAAAGCTGATAAGGAAAGCAAAAAGATACAACGAGAACTTTATGGTCATGAGAATTAAGGAGAAAAAGAGATTTTTTAAGTACATTCAGAACAGAAGGAATCCTAACAATGGCACTGATCTATTATTAGATGGAAATTACACAATTATCAATAATGAAAAAAAGCAAAAGCATTCAATAAATGTGTCTGTTCTATATTTGGAAAAAAGTCCAGTGATGTATTTATTATGGGGATAGAACAACATTCCATTTCAATAGTAACTAAGACATGTGTCAAACTAAAAGAAATGGCCAAGGAGCTCTCTGGACTGTTAATGATCTTCTATAAGTCTTGGAACATTGGGGAAGTTCCAAAAGAAAAGTAATTTTATTTCAATATTTCAAAAGGATAAATAAGATGAGTTGAGTAATTGTAAATCTGTCAGCCAGCCATCAATTCTGGGCAAAATAATGGAACAGCTGTTATGGGACTCTTAATAAAGAATTAGAGGAGGATAATAAAATGAATATTAATCAACATGGGTGTACGGAAAACAGATACCATGGCAAGTAGATCTTGCCACGCTAACTTGAAATCAAAGAGAAGATTAAAGGGTGACAATTTATAAGTATCTAACAAGGAATATCAATTTGATAAGAGAGCTCCGTGCATCAATCTAGCTGACAGTGGCATAAAAAGATTCAACGACAAATCCTCTTGCTGGTGTTATACTGCTGATCAGACTAGAAGACCTGGTTAGATGACCCGAACAGCCCCCTTTGGCCTTATAATCTACAAAATCAGACAAATCACTAATTCTTGACTAATAAGTAGGGATGTTAGGGTATGTCTACACTACCACCCTAGTTCAAACTAGGGTGGTTAATGTAGGCAACCAGAGTTGCAAATGAAGCCCGGGATTTGAATTTCCCGGGCTTCATTTGCATGTTGCTGGGCGCCGCCATTTTTAAATGTCCGCTAGTGCTGACACTGTGCCCGCGGCTACACGCGGCACGAACTAGGTAGTTCGGATTAGGCTTCCTATTCCGAACTATCTGTACACCTCGTTCCACGAGGAGTAATGGTAGTTCGGAATAGGAAGCCTAATCCGAACTACCTAGTTCGTGCCGC